ATATGCTTGTAATGTTTCAAGCCATCTGGCCTGTCTTTGAGATAGGTTATTTTGTGTTTTGATGTATTCTAATGATGTATAATCTGTAATAACTGTAAATTTTTGCCCTTCTAGATATATGCGCCATGTTCTAATAGCATGAATAATTGCTAGAAGCTCCTTCTCTTGTACAGCATAATTATGCTTAGCAGATGACAACTTTCTTGATTCATATGCAACTGGTTGTTCCCCTTTGCCTTGATTTTGTGTTAATACAATACCAATAGCATAATCTGAAGCATCAATAGTGACAACAAAAGGTTTCATAGGATCAGGCAGAAGGAGTACAGGAGCAGTTGTTAATTTTTCCTTCAATTTATCAAATGCTATTTGAGTATCTTTATTCCATTTGAATGATTGGTCTTTGTGAAGAAGATCTGTAAGTGTTTTAGCAATAGCAGAAAATCCTGGCACAAATTTTCTATAATAGCTTGCTAATCCTAAGAAAAAGCAAACCTCAGAAATATTGCTAGGAATAGACCAATCTTGAATAGCTTTGACCTTTTTAGGATCCACAAAAATTCCTTCCTTAGAAAGGAAATGTCCAAGATATTCCACTCTTTGTTGTAAAAGCTCACATTTTGTTACTTTGGCATATAGTTTGTGTTTTCTTAAAATTTCTAAAACAATTTGCAAGTGTTACAAATGTTTTTCTTTTGTATAACTATATATTAAAATGTCATCTAAATAAATAATGACAAATTTGTCCAAATATTCTCTAAAAATATCATTCATGAGAGTTATGAAAGTTGCAGGAGCATTTGTCAACCCAAAGGGAAGTACAAGAAATTCAAAATACTCATATCTGATTCTAAAAGCAGTTTTGTGAATATCAGATTCCTTGATACGAATTTGATGATAACCAGAATAGAGATCAATTTTTGAGAAATATTTGGCATCAACAAGACGATCTATGAGCTCTTCAATCCTTGGCAATGAATATCTATTTTTAATTATAATTTTGTTCAGAGCTCTATAATCCACACAGAGATGCAATGTACCTTCCTTCTTGTGTACAAACAAGACTGAAGCACCAAATGGAGATATGCTAGGTCTAATAAAACCTTTAGCAGAAAGATCAACCAATTGTCTTTTTAATTCATTCATTTCAGGATAAGACAATCTATATTGTTTCCATGGAAAAATGTATGGGTCATTAGGATCGCCGATAGTCACGTGACATGGTGCGATCCATCAGGCCTTGTATCAAAAAGCCTAAATAGTTTAATCGGGGATTTGCAGGACACAACGGTATATCAGCATACACATCGCAGCGGGTATAAATATAGGTGGATTAGCTAGTTAAAATGGAGAGTTAGTAATCGTATTGTATAAACTTGTAATACTTGTAATTGCACCAATATAATTAATAAACTTGCCTTAATTGGTTGTTTGCCACTTATAGAATCTTGAGAAACCACAACGGCTTGTGGTATAAGATTAGACCAGCGACTAGAAAGAAGGGAGTTTATTAACAAGTGCCTCTGGTTAGCAAGCAACACAAGCCCCTACATACTTACCGTTACGTGACGATCTGGTCTGGATTAGCGACAGACTCGTCATGTACCGATAACAATATGTTGGTTTGAAGGGTGATTCTGACCCAGGTATAAGATCAATAGCATGATCAACTGATCTTTTTGGTGATAACTCATTTGGCAACTTAGCTGAAAATACATCAACAAATTCTTTTATTAAAGCCTTCACTTCCTTGCTTATTTCTTTAGCAAGTTTGTCAGTTATAACAGAACATATAGCAAACAACTCAGCAGTATTTGTTGTAGCAGCCAACTGTTAACGAGAGATGAATATAGAAGAACATTCAGGAGTATTAGACTTTTGTTTACTAGCATTGACATTAATGGTATGCTTTCCATATTGGAATGTAATTGTATTGCTTCTTCAATTGATGTAGGGATTAGTATGATACAATCAAGGTTTTTCCAATATAGCATCATATCGCTGCAAGTCTAAAAGTTGAGCATTGATTTCAAATGTCCTATATTCCTCAAGTTCTAACTTCTTAATTTTCACTTCAGTAATGACTCCTTTCTTTTGACCATCAGCCAGTTCCACAATAATTGGAGCCATATCAATCTTTTGTAGGTGATGTTTTTTAGCAAACTTTGTGTCTACAAAGTTTCTTGAAGCTTCAGAATCAAGGAGAATCCAAGCAGATCTTCCATTAATTTTTCCATTAAAGCAAAGCAACTGCTCTTTATTTTCTTTTAATCTTACAAATTCAATAGAAGAAGCTGATACAGATCCCTCAGTTTCAATTTGATTTATATTTGTTTTTGCTTTTGTAGGGCTTTTACATTCTTTGGCAAAATGTCCCTTTTTCTCACAATTATAACAAGTAACATATTTCTTTGATTCTATAGTAGCCTCACTTTTCTTTTGTCCCTGATAATTGGACATTGTTCTATATGTCTCAACTTGATCTAACTCCATAGGAGAAGATTCTCTATACCTCTTTTGTTTTTGGTATTTTGAGACAATATTTT